GTCTCTTTAAGCACAGCTCTGGCACAAGCGCTTGGCATAGGTGGTGTATCCGAGACAGGAGCGCAGAATGTGTGAGCTGGTAAACAGCGGTACACAGTGTGGGGGAGATTCCTACAGAAGCTGCCTAGGTTTCCATGAGATTCCTCTGAATTTAGGGAAGTGGGTTTCTTCTTGGGTGGGAGTGTAGCTCAGGGAGTAGAAGCAGGAATGGTCCCTGGAGTCCAGAAAAGCCCAGATGGACTCTAGGTAGAGAAATAAGTCCTGGACCACAGAGCAAGGCTGTCACTAGCGTGGGTGCCCTGTCTTCAGACTGGGACACAGCACTCCCAGCCTTGCCTCTGGTGCTCACAGTGTTGTACAGCGTTGGCGATTCTTTCTATTTTTATCAATAGACCTTTACACGGCTATTCCACACACAGCTGATTCATTTGATCTGAGGATTATTTTCACATTAGAGACTGTTATCCTATCTTGAAATCTGAGCAGGTGGCCACAGTTCCCCAAGGGTTTTCAATTTCTTCCAGAGAGAAGGCCCTGGTCACACCTGAGGCGCTACATGGCCAAATCCCAGGGCAGCCGATCCAGGGAATAGGGATGAGGGGCAGAGAGGCCAACAGAAACAAATGGACCAAGAGGGCTTAAAAAATAGTAAGTAGCAAACGTTTAACCTTCCTGCTATTCAGTGCTGATTGGGTGAGCTGACAAAATAAACCGTAGGGACTTCTCAGACTTTGCTGGTGGGAGATTATACTGAATTAGAACAGCATCTTCAAAAACAGTGTGATAGCAGAAATCAGATGTTTATATTCAGAAGGAAATAAATCACAGAGAGAGAGAGAGAGAGAGAGAGAGAGAGAGAGAGAGAGAGAGAGAGAGGGAGAGAAAGAGGGAGAGAGAGAGAGAGAGGTACACACATACCCACACATTTATACATGTGTGGGTCAATGAATATTATTTAAACAGCAACATTGGAAAATACACCAAATGTATCCCAGCTTTCTAGATTGATAATAAGTGGTATTTCACCAAATATTCCATTGTTCATCAAAAGTATTTTCCAGGGACTTAGGTATATAACTCAAAGTAGAGTGCTTGCTTCGATTTTGTGAAGCTCTGGGATTGGGCTCTAACACTTACCCCTAACACACACACACACACACACACACACACACACACACACACGAGAGAGAGAGAGAGAAAGAGAGAGGTTTCATAACAGTTCATACTAATTTAATTATGAGATGCTTACAAGAACACACAGTATGTACATATGTTTGTAAATTAAGTTGAATCTTATAGAATTAACTGAAAAAAGAAATTGGTTCAACTGTGTCCAGTTGAAACTCAGTATCAGATATACTATAAAAATCTTTAGTCTTGATTTTTTAAAAGTCTCTTTAAACTTTATTTTGTATTTTTGGGTGTTGGGGCTGGAACCCAGGGTCATGCACATTTGACACTCATGTACCATCACTGATTCTATAAAAACTATTTCTAGAGGGAAAGTTCTGAAATTAAGTATACTCTACAGGTAAATAATTGTTTTAGGGTAGGATTTGTGTTGCTTTTCTCTTAGTACTCTTTTGAAAATTGATTCATTTACTAATAAACAATTTAGCATATTCACCTCCTGTTTTCCTTGATAAGTATGGGTTATGCCATTTCATTTTATCAGCATGTCCCATGCCCAAGACACTTAAGACCAGCCCCAAGAACACAGAGCCGCTATTTTCCCCAAATTCAAGGACCAGTAGCTGGCACAGGCGCCTGCCCTCAGGAACACCTACGCAGACCACTTCTCCTGTGACCATGATAACAAGTGATATTTTCGGCACCATCCTGGTGCTGCCAGATCTGTAAGGAATGGTAGTCATGTGTGAATGTGCCCTGGAGAGGAAGAGGGACCAGACATGCAGCAGGCTGCAGGGTGATACCAATCTGCAGACACTTGGGAGGGGTACCCTTTGCCCTCTGCTGTAAGCTGAGGAACTGACTAAGGAGCCTCTGTCTGTTGCACACTAGCTTCACAGGGGCTCCATAGTGATTGCTCTGTTCAGTTTGATCAATGACTACTATGTAATGAGTATCCTATTAATCAATCCTTTCTGGTTTTTGACATGATTGTGAACTCAAATTCTAGGGTCTCTTCTAAAGCTGGCTATGGTGTCAGCCAGTGTCTATAAGGCCCACTCCTTCAGACAGACAGATTCTGGGAGTACTCAGAGGCAAGTCTGAGCCCCTGCATTGCTTGGGTCCAGCACACTGCAAAGGACTTCCCTTTCCAAGCCCTGGATATGCAACATTGAGCACCCAGGATGCTACAGGAAGACACTCCCAACACCCTGTCTCCCGTGGACTCAGTTAAACAGGAAGGGAAAATCCGGCAACCTGCTACTCAATTAAATAGAGCTTTAAAAAAAAGTTCCCCTGTGATTTGTGCTCGTACAAGAACTAAATAAATAAAACAGAAACCTTTACTGAGCCATTTCCTGCTGGTTACAAAAGCACATAACTAGGGCCCCTCCCTAGCCCATAATCCCCTGGGAAAACCCAAGTCCTGTCTTTTGAAGATATTAGAAATCCTCCATGCCTGGCTTCATCACTCCACGAGCACACAGGTTTCTGAACTAAGTAGTCAGCAAATGCAATAGAAAAATCTTGTTAATCACTCAGTCCATAAAGTGTGACCTTTCTAACGGCCCATTCTTTAAGCGGCTGGAAGTCTCCTGAGCTCAGCTATCAAACTCTCATGAGCATGAGTGACTTATGAAATTGGCTGGCATATTTTATAAAGTCTGGGTATTGCAGGCGGTAGCATTGCTTTATGGCAGTGCAGTAAGCTTAGACTGCCCTGTGCTATTCCAGAACTGAAAGGGCTCTTGGACCTTCTGCAGTCAGCACAACACGGGCCCCTTGCTTCTCAAACATCTATTGCTTTTTTTGACTTTCATATAAGCACCTCAAAAGCAAAGTTTAAACTGAATCCCTCACCCTGATGACTTAAGCATACACTGAATACCCATCAGTAAAATCCCTCCAGCAAAGCCCTTTGGAGACCTTCAGAGATCCATGAGCTTGCGCCACCCACTCCTTTGCCCAGGAAGACAGTGCTGGCTCCTCGCTCCATCCCTGCAAGCTGCCAAAGACTGCATCAGTACATTGGACTCAATGCTTTCCAAAACTTGAAGTTGAAAGTTAGACAAAATGATGGAGTGGACTTCTCCCTTGGATTTCTCAAAAGTTCATGATCAGAGAGATGGCTTTACTAAGGTTAGTACTAAGTACTTAGTACTAAGGTACTAAGATAAGGGGTCTTGCTGTGGAATCCCAAGACCTGAGTTTGATCCCCTAGGACACACAAGGCAGAAGGAGAGAACAGACATCCTCACATTGTCCTCTAACCTCAGCATGTTTACTGTGTACTGTGTGGGTCTGTGTGTTACACATGCACACATGCACACACTTGCACAAAAAATAAGTAAATGGAAAACTTTAAATAATTCATGGTGACACACTGAACCAGCTGGCTAGAACCCTGCAGAAATGATTGTGCAGAGTCTCCCTGGCTGGAGGCTGTTCAAAGTAAGGGAGGAGGTGGAGAAAATCTCAAGGAATCTTGGAGTCATGGAGCCAAACACAGAAACTCAGCCCTGGGGGAGATGGATGTGGTGCTCCGTTCTCATGATGGCCCTCACCCCATCCTACTCCTGTTCTGTGGGGGCAAGAGTGCAGAGTCAGGAAGAAAACCTCAGCCCTTCCAGGGAACACCCCTTCCTCACACACTCCATAGGCTCCTCTGGCGCTTGCATGAGCCAGTTATGCACACAGGAGTAAGATATCGATCACAGCCTAAACAGCCTCCATAGAACACTCCAGAAATCCCAGGGAAATGATCCAGCATATCCTGGTGCCATGGGATCTAGTATGGAAAGAACAGTTGCCCACATGGAGTGTCCCAGGGCAGACTGAGGAAGAAGTTCGAATGAAGGAACCCTATTGAAGACTTGCACAATGAAGTTACCACTCCTTTCCACTGTTAGGCTAGACATGAGTGAGAGACCTGAATCTATTCATTTCTTGGCCCTTTCAGTGTCTGAGACTGAGAACTGAGCTTTGCTTCTGGATGACGGTACATAAATAGGTGTACATGCTCACAGTCATAATACCAAGAGAGGGAAAACTGCCAGAAAGGCAGGTGGGAGTGGATGCTTTCCTGCTCAAGTCGTGAGGCACTATCCCTGCCTCCTTCCCTTGGCCAGCACCCAGAGTTCAGTTGGGCCTGGCCTGCTGTGGGAGTGATGACCCGGCGCTTGCCCTCTCCCCACAGCCCCTGCTCAGCAGCCTCTGCATCTGCTGCAGAGAAGGCAAAGGTGTTTCCAGGAAACAGCCTGGCAGGGAGAAGCATGCCACTGCAGAGTTTGGGAATTTGCTTTGGATTCACAAGGCCATTACCGTATTCATTACAATTACCCTCACACAGTCTTCATTACTGCCTTCTGTGTTCTGCCGCACTCTGTGAAGAAACCCAACTGGGCTACGATATTGTACTGGCTCAGTTTTGTGCCCAAAAGCCAAAGTAAGAAATAAAAGTCCTCGGTTCGCATACAGTTTCCTCCACTCAAAAATGAGATTCAGAAATCACTTTATTTAAAAACAGTCTAATTAATCCAGAAGTGTGAGATCCCCTGTGGGGTTAAGATACCCATAGGGCGTCATCCCTGAGGTTTGGGCCCTGAAGCCTGGCCTGAGGATGGCAGAAGGCTTTCCCACACTGGCTGGTGCCCCTCCAACCATTCTGGCAGCCCATGCCTTGCAAAAGCCCCCTCTTCGAGAAAGGAAGCAGAAGCAGTTCCTCCTGGGGTTTGCTCGGGCCTCAAATCCTTGATCTCCTAAACAACCATCAGCTTAAGCGCAGATACAGTAGGGAAGACCGGTCCTTCCCTAGGGTCCCCAGGGTCCCTCGTCCCCACTAACTCCCCATGGTTGTTCAAGGTTCTTACCCCTCTCTCCAGCAGCATGTCTCGGAAATGGGTCACACGCTCCTCCAGGGGCAGGAGAATCTGTGGGGGTGGCGTCTGTGGCCCCTTGTCTACTTGCTGGGTTTCCTCTGGTCCAGGACTCTCACAACTTTCAGTCCTTGGGGACACAAGATGCAGAGTTAGCCACGCCCGAGGAGATCCAACTGGTCCCCACTGAAACCTTAAATCCCCCTGAGAGCACTCTTTACAGAGAGAAGAGTCTTGAGTCAGATTTGGTGGCTCATGTCTATAATCCTGGCTTGTGAGAGGCTGAAGCAACAGGGGTTGGAGGCCTAGACTGTAGAGTAAGACCTTGTCTCCAACAAACAAGAAAGGGAGGCGGGGGAAACAGAGTCTTGGAAAGCTCTTTGGGTAAGTTGGCAAAGGAGACTTTTCTTGCCTTGAAAGAAAAGTGGCTTTGCCGTGTTCTGTGGGAAGACTGAGGCTAAAGTCCTGGTCCACAGCCCCCAGTCCTAAGAAGAAAATGGCTGGGGCAGAATCACAGAGATGCCTCTAAAATGGCCACACCATGCAAAGCATACAGGAGGGAAAGGGCGGGCCTATCCTTCTGAAGCACCACTTGAGCTGTGCTTGTTAAGGGGGCAGGGCTCCTGATGGGTCTTTTCATAGCTCTGTCTTATTCTAGAAACACCTGGAAGTCTCCCCAAATATCTAAGTACCCATGTCTGGAAGAAATATTTGGCCAAAGTTGATACCATAATTCCTCACACTGACTTCAGCTCACTGACAGGCATCTGGGACACTCCTGTCTTTGAGGACACAGCTGGCCCTTGCCCTGTCCTGTGCTCCAGAGCTCAGTCTGACCTTTACCCTGACCACTCCCATTCCTCACAGGGTCTGCTCCCCAGCCCAAGTCCCACATCCGTCTATGGTCAGGCCCGTGACAGTGTCTGTTCAAAATGACAGGCGGTGTTGGTGCTGCTGGAACAACGCCAGCACCAGTCACCCCTCTGTATCACCCTCGTCTTGGCTGCTCTCAGGCCATGTTGGCCAGTGATGGTAAGGACACACAGACAACATTGCGGACAGACTGCCCAGACCTGCAGAAGTACACCCACAGGAGACACACAGTGATAAACTCTGTGGAAGTTTAGCATGTGCCAAGAGCACACAGCATTCTGGGCCTAACAAGGGTTTTGGTTCTCACAGGGCTGTAGTAGAGATTACCCCCAAACGAATGGTAAATGTGTGACGGAACAACAATGGGGTGCTGAACCTATGCGGGGATTTTATTTATAGACCAGCTATTTCAGGACAATGCACCATCTTCACTCCTCCTATGTCGATGCGGAATTCTGAAAAAGGAATGTTACCAGTTGATCTGTGATCGCGCCAGACTGCAAGGTTATAATTAGGACTTCTTTGTAGTGAGTTTTTATTAGCCCAAAATAGAAGTGTGGAAAGAAGGCTTGTATTGTTGTACCTGGAACATCGGAACACATCATGATCTCCTGTTATTGCTTATCCAACAAATTATTTTGTTCAGAGTCACTGGATGTCTTCCAGAGGACGGGGCTCTTGGCTTGCCTGAATGAGTCAGAGGCAAGTGCAAAGATCTGGTCGTGTTTTGGGGTTCTTGTGTTGGGGTGGGCTTTGTACCTTTAATAAAAGGTGAAGCTGAGTGCTCCTTGTGGGTGGCAAAGCTTGCACATTCTGAATTTTGCCCAGAGGGAAAGGCATAAGAGCACTGGCTTGGTATCTGGCATGGCATGCAAGCTCTGGTGTCTGATCTTTACAGGACCCTCAGTTGTCCCACACAACAAACCTCAGTTGTCACCCTGCTTTTGTAAATGTCCTAGCTCTAAGTAAAGTTTGGAGGGGTTGGTTTTTTCCAATCCCTCACCCACAGAAGATGGTCCCCAACTCTAGATACCAGCACCCCAGAGTCTCCCAACTCCAATGGAGAACTCCTGTTTCCTGTTAGGCAGAGAGATATTGAGGTGGCCACCTCCCTCCCTGCAGAGAGGCTCTGACCTCCCTGACTGCTCCTTAGCCCAGCTCTCTGTGTACATCAAGATCACCCACAACCTTTCAGCTCCTTTCAGATCACACGGGTCCTCCCTGCAGAGCCTTCCAGAGGATAAACTAGTCGCCGAGGTAACACAATGACAAACCCCAAACAGATCTCTGTAGTGATCTAGAGGGCTCAATTCCCTCTACAAGTCTGAGTCACTAGACCGTCTCATCAGAGTCATCTGTTCCACTAACCACATGGAAGATGTGCAAACCAGAGCTGCAGGATCAGCTAGGCAAACCCGTGGACCCTATGCTCAGATACAGAGTGATAGCAATGCTCATCTCATGAGCTGCTGGCGGGTAAGAGTCTTGCTAATGCTGTCACCCCTCATGTCCACATGTTCACAATGTGATGTGCACTGTACCAGACACAGAGAACTTCAGGCAAGCCAGGTACCTCACCCACCCAGGTCTGCAGTTTGGTGGGTATGGATTGGAGTGGGGCATACACAAGCCACAGGCCAGGGCTGAAGTCCCAGCATCGTAGGACCTAGTATAGGTGGTCTTAGGCCAGGTCTCTGCATGGCATGCCTATCAAACCAGCATCTTCGCAGGAATAGAAGGTCTTTAGATGGAACATAAGAGAAGAGAAATGAGGTTACCTCAGGTCATCGCAGCCATGAGGACACCACCCTGTGCAGAGAGAGCTGTTGTGTGGGAAGATGCTAGGTCAGAGGACAGTTCCATGGATGCGACGGGCTCAAAGGAAAAAGCACCAATGTGGGATCAGCGTGCTCTGCACCTCACCATGAGGCTGCCTGTGTGCACAGACGAGCTGTGCAAATCTCTGGATCTGTTGTCAGTGAGATATGAAGTTCTAACAAGACAGTCTTGACATGGCTGCAGCCCAGTTCTGTGATGTGATGGATCCAGTTGACTCCACCCTGCTGAAACAGGGAACGTAAGGGCCACCTCTGTCTTGGCAGCACTGCCTCCCTGAGACAGCAGCTTTTCTCTATACAGGGTGGCAACCCTTGGCTGCAGTAGCCTGAGACAGCAGCAGATTCTCTCCTCTCATGTTCCACCCTGGACAACAGCCAACCCGAAGGCCTTCTTGGCACAGCCTCATCTGACAGGGATGGCAGAAGTCATAAAGCCAGTACAGCTGTTTGACAAAGATCCAGTAAAGCAGAACCACGTGATGGCCGCCAGGCCACCTTTGGTTTTTACCTCCACCTCTTACATATTTGAGAGACTTTTAATATTTGTACAATTTGTAAATATTAAATTGATGGAAAAGTTCTTACGAATCATTTATGTCTTCTCCCAGGAAAGCTAGTTCCAAGCTTCCCAAAGACAGACCTGAGCATACTATCTTCCCTCCCGCTTTAGGGAGATACCCTGATCTACTTGAAAGTTTTCCTGGCACCTTGGAGGCTGTGACACATATAAAGAAGCCAGAGGTCTCTTTATGAGGCTGTGAGGTATTTTTGAGACATCTGTCCCTGGACCTACTCAGGAACAAGAAAATCAAAACAAAATTAACTTTAAAAGGTCAACAAGATTTGGTGGGCTAGAGGAGTTGGCCACAGATCAGATTGCAAGCCTCTTCCTACTATATATCCAGGCAATGGTACGGCAGATACAGCAACAAAGTTAGACTAGCTGAAGCTACCTCCGCCCTACACAGAGACTTATACTGATGGGCAAAGAATGATGTAGAAAGATGATAAAAGTATTCTATAAAGATATAAAATATAAACATTATGACAGAATTTACATAATAACTGCAGCTTCTTTGGCCTGAGGCTATTTCTTGGGCACTCTGACCATCAAGAGTTAATAATACACTGCTTGGGACATGGCACCATGCCCGGGATGGCTTGAAGATTGCTTTGGTCAAATGTCCTTGTAGCCTGCGAATAACTTATCATATGCCTCTAGATTCTTAAAAATTGGGTTATGGGGTTAATGAGTAAAAATGATAATTCTGTTTATCATTGGTGTCAAAACTTGAGGGAAAATGATTGGAAATGATAACTCTGTTTTGTCATAGTTTATTAATGATGTCTAAAAGATGAGCAAAATGAAGTGAGTTTATTAACAATGACTAAAAGATGAGCAAAAGGAAGTAAAACACATAGCCAAAAACAAGAATGATATGATCTATGCTTTGTAGCAACATGAATGTATCCCTAATTACTAAATTCTGCATAAATAAAGAAGCACTCTGGCTGCTAGTCACTCAGGCTGCAAGATTCCCCCGACCATTATGGCCTGGCTCACTTCCTTCCTTTGCCAGCTCCTCACATCCTCTGCTTGTACCTGCCCACCATCTGGGGTGGCTCCCAGAACCTCCTATTCCTGCAAAGCAGCTAAAACAATACAGGGTAGGGAGTGGTAGCCAGAGGGCCACCACTCCAAGAAGACATCACTACATTCTGCTATGCTGGGCTTCATCTCTGTCTCCTCCCTATGTCTGGGACTTGGTATGTCAAAACACTCTCCTGCTACTGCTCCCACAGATCTGGTGAACAGCCTCTTCTGTTGTCACCCAACTGATTATCAGAAAGTAATGCCAAAGGCAGCTGTCCCCTGCCTCCAGAATCCTGGGCTCTGCAAATGGACAGTGAGCTTATCTCTCTGCCAGTGCTGGGCACTGAGGACAGGGGTGTATGTAGTCTTGGTGATAGAGGTGTCTACAGCCTGGCCAGATTCCCTCTTGTCTGTCTCAGTTTGCAGGTGCCCACCACCAGTCTGAAGGCCCTGCCAGAACCAGCCTAGAGGCCTTTTCAGATGCCAGCTGGAGTTCCCGGTGGCTCACAGTACCTTCATGTACTTCTGTGTCGTGGCACATCCACACGGCACATCAGCTCCTGCAGCTGAACTAATGGCCAGTGACTGTACTGATTACCTCCCTGGAGCCAGTGCAGTGTGGTGATGGGCAGGGTGGGTGGCCTGGACCCTCATGCTTTGGGCCTGTGACAGCACTTGTCAGGTCTGTGACAGAATTCCTGGCAGAGAAGGAAGCGTCCTGACTGACCAGAGGGTCTGTATTGTCCACAAGCAGACTCCTCCCAGATCCCAGACAGGACCACGCTTGAGCTGCCACCAACGAGGTGATCCAGGTTGTCCTTCTCT